GGGGGTGGGGGGAGGACCAGGGAGGATGATTCAACCACTCAACCACTAGATGTCGCTGAAAACAACAAATCCTACACACTGTGCCTTTAAATTAGCTTATCTTTTTTTCCCTCATGTTACATGCCTCCATGTTCTGTCATCCTTGGAAACGTTGTTTTAACATTAAGCCAGTGTTTCTAGCCCTACATTGCAGGAAGTGACAGCAAATCAAAACCCTTTTTTTCTACAAAGAACTGTAAATGGAAAAGTCATGAAAGAGACTTACCAATAGTACCACGTCAGTACTTAAAGTTTATGTCTCGGGTCTTTTATATCCAAAATGCTTTTCATCTCCAGGACGTACGTAAGTGGAAATTTGCTTGTTGGGATGCACTCAGGTCGCCTGCATGTTTATGACAGGAATAAAGCATTTGAGTCCACAAGACCAGAGCAAAGACAGAGGGGTAATTGGGGCCAGCTGTCAGGTTTTTTTTTTTTTGAGTGGAAGTGTCTGCGTGAAATTGTGAGACAAGTGTTTTTGTTTTCTTTAGTCCTGCTAAATCTCAGTTTCTCATTTACAGCACCAATTAGAACAAGCACCGGACAAAAATCTTTAGATTTTTTTTTTTTTTGTGAAAAAAGATACAAAAACAGTGCTGACTGAAATGAGACAGACTACATGTTGCCAGAGTGTAATTACAGCACATTGTGGAGGTTTTCAAGTTTTCCCAAGAAATCCCATCAGGAGCCACGTTAGGGTGCCAGAATGTGCCATCAGATCTGCTTTTGGATTTGCCAAAAAGCTTTCGAATCTCTCTAGCCACAACCTTTCAGTAATCAGTGAGCTGTGTTAAATAGTTTGTTGAGCCTWTGGTGTTTTCATTTGTTTTACAGCTATTATTGTCTGTGTCCAAGAGACAGTAAAAGTGTACTTTTTATATCTGTATTTAAACAATTTTTAGAACTATTCAAGCACACTTTCTGCTCGACTTGGCATGTGTTTGATGCACTGAAGAGATAAAAACACAGCTTAATTTAATATATAATGTATTTTTTTCTTCGGAAGCCCTCATTTTAGACTTTTAGTTTGCTTGACCTGGATTTACCTCTTGTGACTATGACTGTCTGGGGCAATGAAAGGGAAGCCCGGAAATTTCCCTAATAACCAATAAAATCACCTGTTTGACGGAGATGTAAGAAAAATGTGCTTCTCAGATGAGAAGAAAAATGTTATCCTGACCGTTGCTTTTCTTTTCCTTTTTTTTTTTCTTTTTCGAAACTGTTTGGTCAAGCCAAGAACAGAGAACACCTGCTGCTCTCTCCTCGGTGCAGAACTGAAGTCTGAATTGGCCTTGTTCTTTTAGGATACAAGGTGTTTGGATACAGAACCAGCTGTTTTCAGTTTGTAGTATAACCTTTCTCCAATCCTTGTGTCAGGTGAAAGAGCAGTGATGAGGCCATTCATTTATCCCTCGTATAAAGATTTCCTGTGAACAATGCATGAATGAGTTTTACCTGTGGTGCCAGTTTCTTATGTAAGACTTTGCATTAGTTCCACAAGTCCTTTAAGACCCTGGGATTTTCTCTTTCAGACTTCATTTACAACACTTTTAAGTGCCAATAAATAATTTACAAGTATTTGGTGGAACTCAGTTTTGTGAATTAAAAAGATGGCAAATTTGCTACTGAAACGTGACTTGAAAAGCCAAATCTGTTTTAAGAAGCACTATAAAACTGTTTTAAAAGTCTCATTAAGTTTCTGTTGCCCTGTTTGAAGCCTGACACACATTTAGCATCTTTTTTTTTAAATTACTTAATGTTTTTTTTTTCTCTCTCTAATACATTCACAGTATTTGATTAACAAGATCTAGATCTGGGGTTGCTTCCTTCCTTGGCTCTTAACGACAGGAAGTTCTCACATTTTTTTGTCTGACACTTGTTCCACAAAGCAAACAGAACAAGTGGAAGCTAGCGTTGTGTGTAGAGTTTTCCACTTTCTAGCTTTACATTAAACTATGGTGAAAATTTGTATTTGGTTAACCCTTCTTCAGACCTCAGACTTCAGCACTCACAGCAACTGGAAATGTTGTAGAGGTTTGTGGGAGTTCCATCCCGACAGGAAATATTTTATTGAGATTGTGTTTGAAAAAAAATAGCTACTGTTTTTGAACTGAATTAAAATTACAGTGGTCAATCCTAAATTAAGACATAGTTTCAGGCTACTAAACCAAATGGTGTGTTGACATAGGTTTGAGGTTTACATGGTGCATGGTTCATAGTGGTGGGAATCGCCATACTTATAGCTGAGCTAAGGAAAATATACACATTTTTGTGGATACGTTTTAAATTTTACAACTTCAAATGTTGGAATTTTTAAGTGCAGCTCCATATCATTGTACTTTGGTAGATGAAAAAATATGATTTTTTTTTCCCTTTGTCTTCTTTAGTAAAACTGCTGGTCTTAACTGTTGCAACTGAGGAAACAGATGGTTTCCACCGCTTCATGCAGACTGCTAACTATTTTAACTACACTGTGAAGGTAAGACAGTTTATGTTTTTAAAACAATGTCCTAAAATGTACATTTTCACACTTGACAGCAGAATGTTTTTCTTTTTCTTTTTTCTCTTCAGAATTGATTGAGCCTATTAGTGGAAACAATGAAGTGAAGCAAACTGAAAACTCATCCCAGAGGGCTAGTCAGTGTTGTAGATCCTGAATTCTCCTTTGTGGTTGAAATAAGTTTGGGGAGAAAAGAAAAAAAAAACTTTTTTTTTTAGTTTGCAGCTCAGTTGTGCCATACCCTCATTAGCAAACTTGTGCCTCAGTGTGCCATTGTTCCCCACGGGTTTGATGCAAAACAATTCTGAATTTTCCAGAATTCCCATTGCAGAACCATCTTATTTGGCCCCTAAGGTTTATCAGGGTGAGGCTTCTTAAGGCGAACGCACAAACACCCAGAAGAGGACACATTAAAATACCACAAAACACCAGTGGGGACATTTTTTCTTTCTTTCTTTTTTTTGACAGTGTTCCTATTAAAGAACTGACAAAAAGCTTTCCATTTGGTTTCAAAAGTAAAACTGGGTGCCATTTTCCTTCAAGGTTTTATCTCTGGTAGTTGAAAGTAAAATAAATAACATATATTTCCTTCCACCAGCACAAGTCTTAAAAGGATAGTTCAGACCTTTTGAAGTGGGGTTTCTTAGAAAGATTGTGGCCAATTATTATCGTGTTTTGAAAAGGCTCTTTCAGTAGTCTCAGTTTGGAGAAATAACGTTTATTTCTGACCACATTGGTGAGCTAATGGCTAACTTGAGTGGATTTCTTCCATTTTTTAACTATCAACTCAGTCTGGTCAAAATTAAACTCTGTTTCTACAAACTGTGCTCCTTCAAAGCTCTGTTACAGATAAGTTGTTTTTTCTTAATAACCTAAAACTCACTTTGAAAGACATTAATTATTGCTTTAAGAAATTGCCTTATAAATTAATAGGTAAATGGCCAAATATGGAGTTTCTTCAGCTCTCACAGTTCACAACCTCAACAATGTGCTTGTTGTGTTCTTTCTAAGGTGATGGGAATGGGAGAAACATGGAGAGGGGGCGATGTCGGCCGTTCTATTGGTGGAGGGCAAAAAGTCAGACTACTGAAGAACACCATGGAGATGCTGGCTGAACAGGAAGATCTTGTTGTCCTGTTTGTGGATAGGTATGCCTAGAACAAAAGTAGTTTTAGCTATTTATGTTTTACATCAAGGTTATTTCCATTAACTATATATTGCAACAAATGTCTTTCAGTAGCGTTTTTAAGAGGAATTTAGTCTCGACTGAAACAAGATCCAACCTCTGAATTTTTAATTAGTGTATAGTTCAAACATAACCAATCATTTATAATAATGATAGTAGTGAAAGCAACATCTTCTTAGTGAGAGGTGTTTTGATGTAGAAAAATACCAGTTTTCTTTCAGGCAGAGGCATTATTATACACAAGGAGAATAATTCCCACATGCAGGTAGCTCAGTTTAAGCTTTTAAGACCAATGGAAAGTTCATCTAAGGTAATATGTGTGGTTTAGAATAATAAGGGCTGTGGGAGACATTTTTCCCTAAATAAAGCAAAAGATAACCATTTTTACTGCACTGTGCCATGCGAATAATCTTATTCATAACTGCTGTTTAAAGCTGTCACACCCTTGAAACAGATAGTTAGGATGTAATTTTCTCTCTTTTAGAGGAAGTGATTGTAGTCTAATAAACTGCTCAGGTGCTTCAGAAGATTAAGATACATTCAAATGTATTTTATTTCTGTTGTTCTGCCAGACCACTGGGAGTGTTTCAGTGTTTTTTTTTTTTAAATTTATTTTTTATTTTTTTGTTATTGGTACCCCGATTATTGTTTTAAAGAGGACAAATCATGCAAAATCCACTTTTTAGCCATTAAATATATTTTGTTATGGGCTTGGGAGTCTCAAAGTGCAGAAATGTTTAATTTAATGGTGCTGCAATGATATCTTTAAATTCTTTTTGGGTCATATTTTTCAACCTGTTTCATTTTCTTTATTTTCCATGATGTTTTCTGAACTATTACTTAAAATATTTGAATGGAACTGCCAAATAAGATCTGGACTTACCAACTACAGACTGTAGCAGTGTGTAGTGTTTGTACCCGCTTGTCATTTATTTGGGGGTGACATTTGGGGTGGCCAATCATGTGCCAGAGGTGGCACTCATTACCCCTTGGCTCAATCCTTGGTTTAGTGTTTGGCAGTATTCCACTTTGGCCTTGTTCCCACTAAGGCAAGCTCTTAGCTCATCCATCCGATCAGACTGGCATGATCATGAAATAAAATCTAAATTCTGGTCAGTTTCCTAACTAGTTTAGTTTTGATTTTGTTTCCATGTACCTCTCATGCCCTGACAAAAGTGCTTTCTAGGACTACATGTTTGTTTATAATAGAGAAATAGCCATGATTTATGAGGTAACAAGACACAGAGGATACATGAACATATGTCTGTCAGATGTGAACAGATCTGATCTCCCCCTCATCCTTGCTTGACTTTTACTTTTGCTGCCATCTTATGAAAACTGATTTTATAGTGCACTGGAGTGCATCTATTTTAAATTTACACTGAAGACAGTAGCAGAGTCAATCACATAGGGTTTTAACTTTTTGATCGATGAGATTTCACAATTTAAAAGCTGTAAAAGCTAACAAGTTGACAAGTGGTAAAATATTTGCTTTATAACAAGCAGAATGTTTTAAAGGAAGCGTTTATGTATGGCATATTTTCTTTTTTTTTTTTTTTTTTGTTCTATGCAGTATCAGTTTGTGAGCTTTTTTGCATCAGTGTATGACAACTGTTCTGAAAACACCTTCCTGCACAAGCATGCAAAAAATATTGTATTTCCAAATCATGAGGAATGTCTGCTGTTTACATTTAGATGCCTATCTGTTCTGACAGATGCACAATGAAACGTGTTTAGGAAAAAATGACTGCTCTTAAAAGATAAACATAAGTTTAATGAACTAACACATTTTATCTTCACTCCTCCCTTTTAGCTATGATCTTATATTTGCTGGGGGACCAGAAGAGATTCTCAGGAAGTTTCAGCAGGCCAACCACAAAGTGCTTTTTGCTGCAGAGGCGTTGATATGGCCAGATAAACGCCTAGCTGACAAGTATCCCTCAGTCCGCAGTGGCAAACGCTACCTCAACTCTGGAGGTGGGTTCCAAAATGTTTTGAGCCTTTGTTGAAAGTCCAACTGCTGACTCCACGCTGTTAACTCTGCATTAAAGTAAACCTTCTAGAAATGTGTTAACAGAAAGTCAAAGCAAAAATCTCAGTTCATTTATTGTTGCGTTTCATCGATCTGGTATTCTGACTTTTAGTTCAAAGTTTGGAAAAACAGATTTCACAGGTTCTAAAATCAAACACAAAATAAGTAATCTAAATGTAAAGTATTATTTCTTTACACCAGGAAGCTGCTCTTTTATGCTGTTTGAGCTGCCTTTTTTGTGACTTAATTTTAAAGAACTTTAACAAAAACTGCTTAACATAACAAAAATGTGAGACTGTTGGTGGAACAGAAGAACCTGAAAGTCTCTTCAGTGTGTAAAGAGAAAGTTAACTCACAGTAAATTAGAAACCCTTATTAGAAACCCTTGTGATGATAATTTAACCTTGATTGTCAGAATATGCAATCAAATTCTGCTCAGAGTTTGTGAAAATATAAGTTTATTGTACATAAAAATCAGGCTTTGAGAAAAAATAGTCTGGGAATCACTGTTTTATATTACTTACTTTTGTACGTTATGGAACATATCACATGATGAAACAAAAAAATACAATTTTTGAAGGTAGTTTTGAATCTTGAGGCAGAAACTTGTCTAAAAAACCAGAAATTTCATCAACAAGAAACAGTTGAAGGGGTTTATAACTCACACAGAGCAGTGTTTGATGCATTGAGTGTCTTTGATATGTCACCCACCCTTAATTTTATGTTTGTGGGAATTTATAAAGTTGACACATAAACCATTTCTCCACCAGCAGCCAAAGTCTGGTTGAAGTGACCCACAGTCGATTGTAAGAGAAAACAAGTGCAAGCCACCAGCTGCAGTTAAAGATGATGAGGTTTTACTTGGTCTCCCGTGAAGTAATGAACAAGGATATAATAATTAAATGTGACAAGACAAAAAATAAATCAATATGTTTGAGATGTTTTAATTTACTGCAGATGACACGGCTCTTTACAACAACAACAACAGAAGAACAAAAATATGCTCTAATGTGCATGTGCTACATAACTGTGTTTTTTACTCAATAGATTTTCAGTTTGTGGGTGACACAATTAATTCTGTGCCTGGTTGACATTATACCCTCCCTGCATAACCACTGCAACTTCTTCCACACTGACACTCGAGTTAAATGCAATTACCATGTCTAATTCTAGGCTAATTTTATTTTAACCAGCTATATGCATGTGTAGCAAAGTTTTAGTTTAACATGGTGGTTAACCTAAAATCAAAGTTATTGAAAAAATATATATCTGTGTGTGAAGATGTGTGCAGGCAGACCAAGGGCGCAGGCAAAAATTCAAAGTGTAACAAAAAGATTTATTAAACAAAAAATTAGAGCTGTCGTGGCAGCAAACTTAAAGAAATCCCTGGAGAAAACACGAAGACACCACACAGGCTGAGGGGATGCAGCACACATCCTCACAGAATGAACGGACCATGTGCCCAGCCTGCAGACAAAACTTTTTCTAGAGGGGATTTTAAAGAGTTGTTGGACAAGCTGCAACAAGAATGAAGTCATCTGGCTAAACTGTCTGCCCTTCTCTCGAGGACATCTCTTCTGAGAGAAGTGGTTCATGGTGGGTTTTTTGCCCATCCTCCTACCCCTTTTTTATTCTGGGGCTCCAAGGCCCAAACCGGCTGTTTCTTCATCTAAGTCTGCTGGGCTATCTGAGTCTACTGGGTCATCTGAGTCTGTTCCTGAGTTTCCTGAGTTGGTGGTCCTGGTGGTTCCAGTGTTGGTGGTCCCAGTGTCTCCTGAGTTGGTGAGTCCTGAGTCAGCTGTCCATGAGGTTCGTGGGTCGGCTGCCGGCAGCCTCCTCTTCGCCTGGGTCGTCGCCCATCACCTCCTCATCACCTGGGTCGTCGCCCATCGCCTCCTCATCACCTGGGTTGTTGCCCATCACCTCCTCTTCGCCCGGATTGTTGCCCATCGCCTCCTCTTCGCCTGGGTTGTTGCCCATCGCCTCCTCTTCATCTGGGTCATCGCCCATCGCCGCATCGCCTCTGTCACCTGTGTTTGCTGTCGTTGACACTCTTGCTCCGTCAACCTCCACCGGCTCTTTGTCTGCTCCCGCCTCCTCCCTTGGCTCCTCATCTGCTCCCACCTCCTCCTGTGGCTCTACATTTGCTCCCACCTCTTCCCGTGGCTCAACGTCTGCTCCCGCCTCCTCCCGTGGCTCAACATCTGATGCTGTCCCCTGCCAGGCCTCGTGTTATTATGGGGTCACACATTGGACGGTTTCCTGGTCGTCCCCCTGGACTTGTGTGTTTTTTGTCCTGAGTTCCCCGGTCTTGTGTCCGTGTTCCCCGAGTCCTGTGCCTCCTCCCTTTTCGATGTGCCGACATTGGGGAGGGGGTGGGGTCCTGTCATGGTCTGTGTTTTTTCTTTCATTTTCTAGTTTTTCTCTGTTCCCCTGTGTATCTCTTTCCTGCTGTCTTGCTTCCAGCCACGCCCACGCTCACCTGTTTCCTCTTGTGTCTCCCCAGGTGTTTCCCATTGTCTCTTAATTTGTTTGCTTTATATTCTGAGTCTTGTCATAAGTGTTTTGTTGGTTCATTGTGCTACATCCCCTCAGCCTGTGTGGTGTCTTTGTGTTTTTCCTGAGCTACTAAGTTTTGAGCTGCATCGCCAGCCTTTTTGTTATTTAATAAAGCCTTTTTGTTGCACTTTGAATTTTTGCCTGCACCCTGGGTTTTTCCCTGCTGACACCTGTCACTGTGTATGGTTCGTTTTTTTAGTTTTATAGTTTCAAAATAAAATCTAAAAGAGAAAAAAACCTTGGTGTTTTTAATGTATTTTTGTTTTTAAGAACTTCATGTAAAAATTGTCAAATCGAACTAATTAAAAATTCACAATGTTGTATTTTAGCTTCCGCTATGTAAACCCAAAATTAAATATATACGGTTGTTGTTTTAATATGTAGCGATACTGAAATGATGGAAGTTGTTGGAGTAGTTTGTAGTGGCTGGAAGACTGCTGAAAAATAGAAACCATTCCTTAACATACTGACAATGGCTGCACTTGAACCTTATTCAGTTTAACTTGGAATATTAAAGCAATTTTGTCCACAGTAAGATTGTCAGCTCTCAATGGGATGTGTTGACTCCCTATACATATGACAAACATATTCATGGTGAGAAGTGAAAACTGAAAATGCTCCAGGAGTTCAGGCCATGATCCACAGTTCTGCAAGAAGGTCCCAAATGGTATGCTAACAAAATATAATGCTTGTCTTTGTTTTAATCATTAAACAAAAACAAACAAACAAACAAACATAGCCTTCTTTATTTTTGCAGTAGTTGTTTTTCTAATTTAGTTGTAAAACAAATAAAAAAATCTTGTTTCATTTTGAAACAGAAAAAAACAAAGAACGAACTGTACATACCAGATTATTATTGAGAGTTAGTGTTTTGTGTCTAGATACTTTATATTGGAGACTAATGTTCAAACAAACCAAATCACCCAGTCCGTCTGGGTGCACTGGGTTTACACATTCCACTATCAGCAGCTGAACTCTGAAGACTTGCAGGCTTTGTTGGAATTTTGGTGGTTAAGCAGCTACAGTAAAGCCCCTCAGTATTATTAGTTTAAAGAGCGCCAAAGCGGCTAGGAACAGCAACAAACTTGTGTTAGCTTTAAAATCTAAAACTCCAGGGTTTTCATTATTATCTCTTGGTGTTAAAAGGGAAACATATTTTCCTTGTAAGCCTGCCCTTAGAGGTATTTCCTCTCCACTGCGGACAGGATGTGGGAGAAGACCATTTATGTGAAAAAAAGAACTGCATACATAAATGTCTTTTTTTAGCAATCACCCTCCCTGTGGTTACTCTGACAGATATTTACCTTCTGTGAAGATGTTTCTTGGCATATTGTAAATGTTACATTGCATTCTCTTTAAGATGCTCTAAGATAACTAATAATGCATGTTTATAACCAAAAAGCACCAACAGCTGATTCCTTCTAGTTTCCCAGGACACTTAATTGCTGCTTTCCTTGTGGTCATCAGTCTGGTTTGACCTCCCATTGTGGAGCCTAACTGTCTCAGACTGATCAGAGACTGTTTTTAGCATTCATTGTCATTGACTTGACATGTGGATTTGTCTTGGGCCCCTGAATGTGCCACAGTTTGCATGAAATTGCAGGCTTTGTTTGTGTTCCTACGGCTACCGCCCAAGTGACCAGTGAGGAAAGTTTTATTGCATGTGGACACACAGTACCGTGTCACAGAAAGTACAGCGTCTTAGGCTGAAATTGGGAGTTAGAGGGTTTGTGTGGAGCTACGGGTGATTATTTATCATAGCCACAAAAAAGATCACTTACAAAACTAACAGGAGTTGAAATTATTTACTGAAAGCTGTTCAAGATTTAGTGCTAAGAATCTCCGGCCCCGCAGAGACTGCCTGAAGTTTCTACAAACATCTCTTGCAATTTTTGTAGAGGGATATTTGTTGAGAATGTTACCTCATAGAGTAGAGCAGACTTTTGCTTTTCCCTAAAAGATCAAGAGAAAAAGGCTCGCAGTTTGCAGCAATTTCCCAAGATCTGCCGAGACAATCCATCAATCAACAATATATTGTGCATAAAATTCACATTTCTCTTTGAACTGTTTTCATGTTCCTGCCATTTCGATTATGTCATGTCTATCCATTGACTTGTTTATATCGTCTGAGGCTTTTTGCAAATGATGGGATGTAAAACAACGCACACCAGCGCGACACAGCTAAACCCTGCAATCTGTTGCTGTGGTCAGGATCCTTGAGCAACAGAGGCAGAAATAAGAGAAACCGACGGGGTAGATTGTCATGAGAATGCGTATTCAGAGTGTGTAAAATAGTGCATGCAGTTCCAGAAGCTTCACTTGATCACGATTACCAAGTAGCTTTTTGGTACCTATGATTGTGCTCATTTCAGTTTACACAATGTTAGAGAGGTATGGGTCTTGACTTTGCTCATGTGCTCAAAGTTGTTGCCAAAACTCACATTTTATTTAAGACATTCATGCCTCATTGGATGAAAATGGAGGCCAGGAATTTAGCAGAAGTAGTAAAATTGCCCATAATAGTTGGTTTGTTATGTAGAGGCCTGTAAACATCTCTCACACAATCATTTACACATTGGTATGGCTTTCTCCGTGTTTATTCTTTGCAGGTATAATTGGCTATGCCTCATATATCAACAGAATAGTTTCTCAGTGGAACCTCCATGACAATGACGACGACCAGCTCTTCTACACCAAAATATACCTGGATCCATTACAGCGAGTAAGTTTGTGTGCACTAACACAGTGATTTATTTAGACAATCGATTCTGGACAGCCAAGTACATTTTTCTTTGTTCACGTCTCATAGGAAAAACTCAACATGACTCTGGACCACAAGTGTCAGATTTTCCAGAACTTGAATGGTGCTGTTGGTGAGCAGTCTAAGAAAATGACTTTAAAATTTATTTTCCAGCAAATTTGTAAATCTTAAGCTTTTATATAGGCAAGACAAAATGACACTTTGCATTAAATAGTTTTAGCTATACTGACTTTAAATTTTAAAAATTAAATGTGTTTGGTTTTGGCATTGAAAAACACATTTCTTGTATTACCCTAGTATTAAGTGTCTTGTGCTCCCCTCTTTGGCAGATGAGGTTCTTCTCAAGTTTGGAACGAACAGAGTAAGAGTAAGAAACACAGTGTACGACTCTTTGCCAGTTGTTGTCCACGGCAATGGAAACACCAAAGTGAGTAAGAAATTCTACCCACGGACACGACTAATGTAGTTTGCATATGGCTTGGCTACTTTGAAATTAACTCCCTTCAAGGTTTTCTTTTAGATCGTTGCCCAACTACCAGTCATCATGAACATTACATTTCACATTAAACTACATTCTGACTCAAAGAATGTAGCAGAAAGTTTATGAAATGCTTTCCAGTTGACCTAACTTAGAACGTCCTACTCATTATTCATTCAAGTGAAAGATGTAATTCTTCTGGCCATATGTTTCTTATTTGCTTCCTGTCGTCACTCATTTCACATGATAGAATCACTAAGATAACCGGATGTCTGAAAAAACTGTTATCACTCTACAATGTGTTTTTATTGTCTTTTCCTTCCCCCAATTCATCACAAAATTTGTTCCATTATGGACCGCATGAGTCTAAATTTCCTCAGAATTGAACTAAACCCACCAAGCTATTGAGTCATCCTTCCCAGAGGCCTGAACAGCTGGAGGAGAGGCTCCAGCTGGTAGAACACAGAATCCATTTCCTAGTAGCCATTTCCACAGTTTGAGGGACCCAGATACTGTAAATGTCTGGCTTTGAGTTTATTATAATTGTATCATTCTAGGTGCAGTCTAGTTACACAATTACAGTATTAATGTCTACAGTGACAGTTTGGAAGGAAATTACATGTCCCTGTGATGTGCATTAAAGCAAAGTACATGATCAGAATACAGTATGTGCTGTCAATCATGTTATCACAAAAATTGTAAGACATGATTACATCATCTCAGTTTGCAGAAATTCAACAAGGTCTATAAACTGGTATCGTCACACAGTAACACAGAATATTTTTTTTAATAAGACGGTGGGATTTTCAAGATGAAAAATACATGTCTCTTGCAACTCTGGAAATAATTATTAGCATACCTGAAATTAACTTACTATAATAGAAATATATTGAAAACTAAACATGCACATTTTCAGAAGACCTTATTAAAGTCCAATGAGTATTGAATAAAAGTTGTTTTCCCTCTATATAATACCATTATTCCTGCAAACAAAAAAATGTAAAAGGGACTGCCAGCCAATAATCTATACATTTTGTACTTAAAATGCCATTGTTTTTGTCCAAGTACCATTTTAATAAAAATTCCAATCATTCATGAAAATTTACCCATTTTGAATTTGGTTCCTTCACAGATGTACTTGAACTACTTGGCTAACTATGTGCCCAATGCATGGAACTATGAACATGGCTGCAGCCACTGTGATGATGATCTTCTGGACCTGTCTCAGTTACAAGTAAGTCATTTAGTAGGTTTCCACCTATTTGCTATGCTTGTTTTAAAGTTGCTAATGTGGAAAGGTCTGCCTTCAGCCTCAGTTCTTTTGGATTTAGGAAAGAATGAAACATTTCCCAGTTTTCTGTTATGAACTGTTGGTTAGTGATTGTCTAGACAGTAGGATTAGAAGTTTATTATGTTTTTAACAACAAAAAAAGGAACAGAGCTAACAGTTGATTCTGCCACTTGTTTTCCCCTCAAAATAATAGGTTCATCCTTTTTGGCCCTTTTTGAAAGAGCACGTCTGAGGTGAACTGCTCAGGGAAAAGGGAAGCATTGCATGGCTGTGGTGCAGGATATGGTTGCTGAGGTTTACAGAAGGTCTCATTTAAAGGGGTGTCACTGTTGACCAGGCTGCCTTTTAGTTTGCTCCTCTATATGGCTTTTTTCCAGTGCAGTGAGTTATAGTGGTTTTGCAGAAAATTTGTCAGAATTGAGCCAAAGCTGGAGTCAGGCAGGACTTGCAAGCTTTAGGAAATGTCTCTGGCTGTGTGGTTGCAGTTGTCAAAGAATGCCCCCAGACGTTTTAGCTGTATTTATTTTTTTTATAAAACCCTAAGCATAGAAAATAATATTTTTAGTTGTTTTTGAGGAGGGAAAGTGCAACAAATGTGCCCTCCTAGTTCAGTAAGTTCAATGTTTGCATATTGGTTGTCAAAGAAAAGACTTTCACATTTGCTGCAAGTTGTAGACTATAAATACATGTGCCTAATTAACAGCAGCTGATTCAGAACAAAATCAACTAAATGAAAGGAATCACTTTGACTTCCCCAGTGAATACAGAAAACATTATGAAACGGACAAGTCAGGAAAGACATCTCATTCCACGTTGTCCCTCTATTTATTTGGGACAGAAACTCCTGGAAGATCAGGTCATGTGGGAACAGTGGTCTCGCTCTGTCCAGGCCTGTCTGGTGGGGTGAACCCAGTCTACAGTCACTCCCACTGTGGCTTTTTTTGTGCAATGTCGTTTTGAACTTTTGACACTCTTAAGTGTTACACCACTAAAAGACCAGTCCTGTGCCTGCCAGACAGGGAAATTCACAACTTTCTACAGTTTTGTTTGTATCAAAAAAAAAAAAAAAAAAAGAATGGATGTGTCTTATTTCTGCTTTTAATTGTTTTAGTTGTGTATATTTATTTTTTTTTTGTTTTTCTGTGTTTATGTGCCATCTTTGCCACTTCTTTCAGTTGCCTGTCTGCTGGCAGCAAAATGAAGGTTCCCCTAAGCTTCAAACCAAAAGTAGTCATTGCGGAATATGAAAATTAGATGGTTCTGCTAGGATTGCTTTTCATCCCTGGCCCAGACCTTTGCTGTGAACTGGTCAAGAAGATCACAAGTCCAGACTGGCGTGTGTGAGCCAGAGCTGAGCGTCATGGGAAAGTTTTCCTTCTTCTCTGTCTCTTCCTCCTATTCTCTGTACGTCTCTGGTGCCTCGAGTCTTTTACATGCTAAATGCCCACAATCGACATGAAAATAATTTTAAAAAGTAAAAGCTTTACAGAATGTAAATTTCAGCCTTAAAGCAGTGCAGTGTGGAATATCCCCAAATCACTGTTTACTCTATTGATAAAAAATAGTGAAACATCTGCGGCAGATTTACAGTATATTTATGGAAGAAATGAAGTGTAAATATCATTTCTGACTTATGTGGCATAACTGTGAAAAGTTGTTTAAAAAGGAACTCATTTGTCTTTCTTCTAATCTAAACAGGAGTATCCAAACGTGTTGGTGGGAGTGTTCATAGAGCAGCCAACTCCGTTTCTGCCTGAATTTTTCCAGCGGCTGCTGACTCTGGACTATCCAAAAGATAAACTGAAACTCTTCATTCACAACAATGTGAGTGCATGCAGCTGCTCTTAAGTTGTTTTTTTTATCTCTCTGGATTGCGTGGCTCTTCCTGATATTATTAATGTTTGCTTCTCACTCAGGAGGTTTACCACGAAAAGCACATACAGAAGTTTTGGGAGGAGAACAGGAATGTGTTCAACAGTTTCAAGGTTGTGGGACCAGAAGAAAATCTGAGCCAAGGAGAGGCCAGGAACATGGGGATGTATGTGTGTACATTATATGTCAGTCAGATATTACAGTGTGTTGTTTGAATAAAAACACTGATTAAACCTGAGCATATCAAGACATAGGAAAGGAAGCAGAAAGAAGTTACCAAGTGTTCAAAAACACTAATTCACCAACAGAGGACTTTTCAAGGAAATAAAAAAATATTTATTTTCTGGCCTGTTAGGACTTTGCAAGGAAGATGTTCAACAAACGTAAAAATCTCCAAAGCTTACTTTAACATAAACCACCCACCCACCCCAAATATCTAAACTGTAATGTAGCTTCAACGCTTGTTAGTCCAAAGGTTGACCTACAGCTGTGAAAGCATTAAGTAAAAATGTCATATTGCAACAGACAGCACTTCTAATTTCAGTCTTATAGTACGGAAAAAGGAAAAAACAAAATGGAGAAAAAATTAGATTTAAAAAAATTATTTTGAGACATTTCACTCAAAGTATGACTTACCTAGTCATAAGGAAAAAAAATGTATAGGTCCTCTGGACGGGTTCTTCTTTAATGAAACGTTTCGTCTCTCCTCCAAGAGACTTCTTC